GGTGGAGCAGAAAGGAGGGGAGAAAGAAGGAAAAACAGAGACCAGGCCCTTTGGGCAGCAGACCAAGTGAACCTGTATCAGTCTTGGAAAAAATGTTTTTGTTTTGTTTTGTTTTTTTTGGTTTTGGCTTTTTGAGATAGGGTCTCACGGTGTAGTGCAGGCTGGACTTGAACTCAGTGTAGCCCTGGCTGGCCTCAAACTCTCAGCAATCTCCCTGTCTCTGCCTCTCAAGTGCTGAGATTACAGGCGTGTGGTACCATGCTGAGGGGACAAAATGTTTTTTAAATGATGAACATCTACGTGCAGAGCTGAGTGGAATCTGACCCACGAGTTAATGCTGGCAAAGGGAATGGACACAACATGAAGACAGAGATGCCAAGATTTTATTCCACTTGTCATCATCAGACATCTGCAGGCCCTGAGAGAAGTCAGTGCTTTAGCAAAATCAGCCTTTGGTCCCTGGGGAAGTAACCTGGGCAACCGTTATCATAACCCACACGTCAGCCGAGCTGGTGGGAAACAGATACCACATTGCCCAGCTGTGTGAACCCCAAAATGTGTGTGCTAGGAGAAAGCAAAACTAGGATACCTATTTGGGTTTTCCCTTGGTAAGTTTTCTCATTTCACTCACACATCCTGCTCCCCTGGCTTCACCAGGGTCCCTCCAGGCCTGTCCAAAACAAGAACACACCATACTGTGAGGAGTGGGAGTTTACTGCACCGGGGGTTCATTCTGCGGTCCAGCCTTGTCTACTGCAAGGGTCCCTGACTGTCTCAGAATCATACCAGTGTAATCTTGCAGTGTTGGGATGCAGCCCAGGGCCTTAAGCACGCTAAGCCTGCTGTACCACTTGAGCTGCACCCTCAGTTCTGGGAGCTCATCCGTGTTAAGGCTAAATAACACGGCCGCATACAGAGCCACAATAAAACCCTTTGGGGTCTGGGAATGCAGCTCAGCGGTAGAACACTTGTTGCCCAGACAAAACAAAAACAACTGATAACAATTCCCTTGAAATGTTCTAATCCACAGAAAATGCAAAACTCTGGCCTGTGTTCTGACCCTTTCTGTTGCTTTAACAAGAAGCCCTTGCAGGCTGCTGAGCTTGGACATTTTTATTTGCCAAACCGCCTGGTCCTCCGCTGACCCCCAGGGTATCTGGAGACTGGCAGAGGCTGTTTCAAGCCATCCCACCCTTCCCTCTGTGCCACAGAAATTCAGCTCTGGCACTTGCTTTCCTGCGGGAAATCCTGGGTTCCAGCCTCAGGAACACAAACACAAAAATGCAAACTGCTGAGGTGCTCTTCTAACCTTGTGAGAGGTTTCCTGAGACAGACACCTTATAGCGGAACAAGGTCTTCCGAACTGTGAGTCATGGCAGCCCATCAAGATTTACAAGGCTGCACTTAAGCTCTAGCTGGAAACCTTTGTCCGCCTGATCGATACCTGGGAGAAGAAGCAAGGCTGTGGGAAAGAAAGCGGCAGTGAGGCCTTGGCTGGGCATCCTTTCTCCTGACTGCAGTGCATGCTGCCACTCTGGTGATGACTGCAGTGGCCCTGAAGTGACCAAGAAAGGCCTTTCACGCAGGGGCTAATGCGAGTGTGGCTGTCTCTTTCCCTGCCAGCCCTGCTGGACTCAACGGTGACCACACAGAACACAGCCAGGCCACGCTGCACACTGGGAAGCACTCTCACGGCAAGCCACTGATATGTAATTTAAGACCGGAGGAGGGGTTTCTAGGTGTGCAAACCTGGCTCTGATGCAAATGTGTTCTCCCCTGGGTTCCTGTGCTGAAGACGGGACCGCCAGTGCAAAATGTGTTCTCGAGAGCTGGAGCCTCATGCACAGTGCCCAGGTCCCCTCACGAGAAGGGAAGGCCATTCTCGGGTGGGTCAGCTGTCTGGAGAGTGGGGTTAGAAGTGGGTTTGGCCCCTCTTGCTCTGATGCTTTGTGCCGTGGTGACAGCACCGACATCCTCACCAGATGTCAATGCAGGGCTCAGGCTTCCCAGGTTCTAGGACTGACAGCCAATAAATTTTGTTCAGTGTGAATTACCCAGGCTCAAGGTCTCTCTCCCGCCACCCCCACAACCTGGGTTTAACTATATAGTTCAGGCTGGCCTTGAACTTGCTGCGATCCTCCTGCCTCAGCCTCTCGAGTTCTGGGATTACAGAGGTGCGCCACCACACCTGACAGGTTTTCTGTTACAGCAGCATGAGCCAGACTAAGCCACCAGTGCTGAGCAGGCTACACCACAGCCTGAGTGACCTCAGGTTGTATGGAGCCACTCAGCCCTCCTGAGTGACTCCGTCTTGCAAAGCAGGCATCTGTCCCTTAGAGTGCAAGCACCAAGGCAGAAGGACCAGGCAACCTCTGTGAAAGACAAGAACCAATGGAGGTTGGCACACGGAACTCATCCAGAAAACAACTCCCAGCTGCACAGCTCAGTCATGAGGTACAAACTGAGAGATGAATTAGTTCCACTACTAACATACTGCCACCTGCACACTTACCAAATTAAACCAAGGACAGTGGATGCAGGGCATTGTCTAAGTGATGTCAGAAAACCAGGCCACTGTTAGACAGACCAACGATGGGACTCCCGACTTCACCTGCATCATATCAAAGGAGGGACACCCAGCACCTGGGTGACACAGGGCCACATGAGCTTGTCATCTCATCAGACCACCTGGTAAACCTGTCACAAGGTTCACAGACCCCACACTCCGGCTGTCTCATATCTGAGTTCAACTGGATCCCGGAGCTCTGCCTGGTCTGTGACCTTGCATGGCCACCCAGGCGACTGGACCCTGTGTCCTTGGCCTGATGAGGCTGATGGAATTGATATAGCTCCCAAATTTATTGACACAGTAGAGACACAAGCCAGTCTGGTCTGTTGCTGGCATTGCCGGTTCACCCCACCACCTGTCCTTGAGTTTCAAGATAAATTTCAAGACGGATCCAAGAATGTACAGGTATGAAAAGATGTAGGACAGACCTGACCCTGATCGCATCCTCCACAGGCTCTCTTCTCAAGTGTCTGAGTTCTCAAGAGACACAGAGGCCAGGGTCTGGCAAACGTGCAGAGGGTGAAGACACTGTCAACTTCCCGTCCACATGAAAGCTGCTTCCCCCAGGGCAATCAGTGGCAGTCATTTCAGACATTCCTGTTTCAGGGTCTCCGGATGGGTCCCATGCACACATCTTTACCAGGAATTACACACACAAGTGTGGTTCTAATTCCTTTCTGGAGCTGCCTCACCAGAGTCATCCTAGAGTTCACCCAAAATGGCAAACCCAGTGTGAACATTGTCATGCCTCTAGTGACCCTGAAATGGTTCTAAAAACCAAATCCATTCGGAAACAATTTTTGGTGCCTCAGGACATTCAAAAGCAATTGCCTGGTGTTCTTAAAGCAATGTAAAACTAAAACCTATCAAGTTTGTGTCTGTGAGTGTGACAGTGTGAGTGTCTGTATGTATAGGCAAGTGCTCTACCACTGAGCTACACCCCAGCGCTAGTTAGTTTTTGAAATTTCTCAGTGAGAAAGTCTGGTCAAGGCACAAAATCTGGAAGTCATAAGAGAAGGTAAGTTTGTACAAAAATATAAATTTGACAAATTTAAATAAAAGTATACATTAAAAAATCATAAACATAGGTAAGAAAAAAAGCCTTAATTGCATCTGTTGTGTCCTTAATTAATATGGATCCCCTAGAATGACCATAGTTCTACAGAAAAATTGGGAAGGGATGTGACCAGCTATATCACAGAGAAGGAAACACAACTGGCTGTTTACAAGACAGATTAGATTGCTGCATGTGAGAACTACATCACCAGGTGCTAGGAGATACCATGTAGGTGCAGGCAAGGACAAGGGACCATGCCAGCCAGTAAGCTGGGGTCTGCAGCTACAATGCCATGCACCCCACCCCACTCCTGCGGGATCAGGCAGGATGCACCAGGCAACCCTGGCTGAGCACACCAGTGCGCAGACCCCTGGGGCACATGGTCCCTGTAGCCCCAGCCGGCTTTTCAATGTGCCACAACCACCTGGCAGACCTATTTTTAAAAACAAGAGCCTCCTTTATTATCAGAGACACTCAGAGTGAAATGACTTGCATATTGTGCTGGGCCTGAAAATATTCCATGACTTATTTGGTGCTCATTTCATTTGGGAAGCTTCCACTGCTTACTTGTTCAGACATGAGGTCACCAAACTTTAAATGGACCAAATCAATTCTCACTTTACCTTCATGCATCTTTGATGCTTTGCCTCTGGAGTTCTTTGAACAGTTAGACACTGTCTGGCAGAGGGCCAGGGCCGGTGGGGACTCTGGCAAGGTGAGGGCACGCAGTGCTAGGAGAGGACGCTTGTAGCTGCCTCAAAGGAAGCTTCCTGGCTGTGCTCCCAGAGTGGATTTCTGCTCGAGAGAGCATCTTTCCTGCTCTTCTTTCCCAACCTTTCACACACTGAGCCTCAGGTTTAACTCTGGGGATGTGGCTGGGAAGAGCACAGTGCGCTGTGGGTTTGCTCCGGTCCTGAGTGGTACTGACCCTTCCTGCAGGATGGGGCCCTCCCTCTGCTGAGTGTGTGCAGATGTCACTCATGCCCAGCCCACTGTGAAGTCACCATCCTCTGTTCCCTACCTCCCCAGCTCTGGGAAGCGAGGAGTGGGTTCTGGTTCCTCCTCTGCCCCTGGTACTCAACCTTGGAGGCCCCGTTACCCATCACAGTACCTGAGAGGCTGGGGCTACCAGCACTTGGGCTGGGTGGGCTGCATACCGCTCCCCACACGGGACCTTAGGGACTGCAACAGACTGAAGCCAGGCCCTTGCTGTCTCTGTGTAGCCTGATGTGGAGACCTGCCCACTGGCAGGAAGAAATGTAACTAGAGCCTTCCCTGGCTGTGTGGTGGGCCCCAAAACAGCCTGAGCCTCCAGATGGCTTGTGGTGGTGTCAAGAGTCACTGCCACCACCCATCACCTTGCCCAGGTCGTAAACTTCAGAGTGGACAAAGGCAGTTGCTCACCCAGGACTTGGGAAGGAGTCCTGAACCTTTATTCACGGCAGAGCACAGAGGTCCAGAGCTGTACATTCACTGAGGGAGCCTCGGTGGACTCAGGGAGGCTGTAGTCAAGGTCAGCACGGGGCACACACTGTCTCACATGGCTCACGGTGCAGTACATTCATGGGGACACAGCGTTGGTGTCAGAAAGGGGCTCAGTTATGGCTCACACACAGCGCTTGGCACTCAGGCAGTGGGGCCAGCACTGCTCCTACAGCAAGTCCCACCCTGCTCTGATCTCTGGGGAATCTGCAGCCAGTATAGGTCCACGAGAGGGGACCTCTAGCCAGTGTCCCCCACCAGTTAGTCCCACACCTCTGGATGGCTTCATGTTTCCAGCATGGAGAACCTTGCTGGAGACAGTGTCTGAAAGCCATGGGTCCTACTCTGCTCTCCCAGAGCAGCCAGGCACCTGTGCGGCCTGAGCCCTTGGGAGGATCAAGGAGACCGGGGGACCAGAGATTCACACATAGGGACACACACATAAGCAGTCATATCCCTACAGACAGGGGACAGGAATGCCAAGGGACACGCATGGCTCGGGTCTACCTGCAGCCACAGCTGAAGAGGTCTCAGCAGCTATGGCCCAGCTTGAACATCTGAGGCACGGCCCGGTGGGCCTGCCCTCCACTCTGTGGCAGATCTGTAGAGGGATGTGGCAGCATGGGCTCTTGCAGGACGGGGTCAGGTCCAGATGGAGGGGTCTGTGGGGACAGCTCAGGAAGGCGGCCTGGGACTACAGGGTTGGGCTCTTCCGTCTCTTCAGGGTGTCGATGTAGTGGAAAATGGCCCCCAGAGCCCAGCTGGTCTCCACATTGTCAATTTTCCGAGTCAGCTTGAAAGACAAGAGAGAGGTGGAGAGGACCATCATGCTCTGGATAGGGAGGCTGGGCCTGGCTGGGCGGTAGGGAGCAGCTCAGGGCTGCAGGGATGGGTTACCAGGGCCTATTTCTCCGAGCTCCACCCCACAGGTGGGACACAGTGTCCCCAAGGCGGCCCTACCTTCAGCACTTTGTCCCCAGCAAAGCCGAACTCGCGGAGCAGCAGGCTGATGTAAGTAAGGTCCATACAGAGGAAGGGGCTGCGGTGCAGCTGGGCAGCCAGCGTCCGGCACACTGAGGACACCAGTCCCAGTCAGTTCTCGGCCTGGACCCTAATGCCCCACCCCCTTGGGCACCTGCCCAGCTCCTCCCTCTCCCAGTACTCACAGGAGCCCGCATGCCTGTCCTACTCCATGGACAGCCATGTCCCCCAGGCCACACCCATGCACTGTGACCTGACTCCTACACCAAGGGCAGCTGAGGGCAGCCTGTGGCAGAGGGGCAATGCCACGGATAACCATAGCTCTAGGCTGGGAGGCACACGAGAGGTTAAAGAAGCCACTTCTGGCAGCAGCAGCAGGAGGGGTGCTTGTGGACAAGTGAGCATAGTCTAACACTCTGATCTGGAGGCAGGGAAAGCACCTGGTGAAGCACGGTGGGGGTGGGAGGCGAGACCTGGACAAGGTGGCAAGTGGGTGAGGGGCACCAGGTTAACCGTGCAACTTGGGGTACAATGTGTCACCCCCTAGCCTGGTCTCTGAATGCAGTCCCTGCTTCCTCTGCGTGGTGACCTTCATGGATGTGCTGGGACATCTCAGGAAGTCCTTCTTGGGATCACCCAGGTAGGGGCACAAAGGTGAAGAGCTAGCACAGTTTATTTCCAGGCAGGGAGGACACGGAGCCCTGGAGGATGGACCCGGGTGTGGGCCCTATAGAGACCCCAGGCTCTCTGGCTGCACCCTCGCTCGACTCTGCACACTCCACTGGGAGCTGGACCCAGAGCCTATGGGCCAGTGCCTGTCACAGCCCAGTGGGTGTCCCTGACCCCGGAACACACTGTACTTAGCTTACTGTACTTAGCTGTGATCTCGAAGTCCTCGACTGTGACACTGCCTCCCTTCTCTGCATCTGTGGGACAAGATGTAGGCATGGTCTGGTGCAGCCTGGAGCTGGGCTGGGCTCCCAGACCAGGCGTGCTGGGCCAAGACAGACAGGGCCATTCCTCCTTTTGGTGCTGGGAAACAGACCAGGGCCCGATGCTTGACAAACATCTTAGCACCGAGTAGGATCTCAGCCCTGATCGTGGTTTCTTTTTCCTGCAGTGCTAGGGATTGACCTAGGGCCTTGAAAACACTAGATAAGTGCTCTGGCATTAAACTACATCTCCAGTCCATTTTATTTTTTTTTTGTTTTTTTTGAGACAGGGTCTTGCTATGTAGCTCAAGTTGGCCTTGAACTCATGGTGAGCCTCCTACCTCAGCCTCCTAAATGCTGGAATTACAGGCTTGCACCGCCAGGCCCAGCACAATCCTTTTTATTTTTAATTTGGGGACAGGATCTCTCTAAGTTTCCCAGGCTGGCCTCTAACTCAGGACCCTCCTACCTCACCCTGCAGAGGAGCTGTGACTACTGGTGTACACAATACACTCAGCTAACATTCTGTTTTGCTTTTCTTTTTGTTTTTAGGATAGGATCTCACTATGTGGCACAGGCTCACCTTGAACTCACAGCAATTCTCCTGCCTCAGCCTCCTAAATTCTGGGATTACAGGTGTGTGCCACCACATCTGGCTTGGCTAGTATTCTAGTATCAATTTCTCAACTGTGAAGAAAAAAATTCTCAGAGTGATCTGACCTGCCAAATGCTAGAGGTGGGTGGCTGCCCCGGAAGGGCACTGGGTGCTGAGCCCTGGCCTAGGCTGCTCTTTCAGAGCCAAGCAGGACTCTGCCAGGCAGCTGCAGTGGCTTTTCTGAACAGCAGGTCTCCAGAGACACCCCTGGCAGGGACAGCAGGGAACCTGGGCAGCCCCTGCATGCTGGCCATGGTCAGTGCGGCCAGGGCAGATGCTGTGGGGGTGTCAGGGTCTGGGGCCAGGGTGCACATCCCTTTCTTCCAGGAGGTTTTATTCAAAGCATCAGTGCTCTCATCCTCACAGCCAGCAGCACTTTGTGATATTCTCAACTTAATTAGAAAGCTCTAGTCTTTATCCCTAAAATGCCTACAACTCTCACATGGTGTCTATGCAGCCTGCAACTCCAAGTCTTGCTCCACCAGCCCCGGTCCCTGTGCTGAGGAAGACAGGCAGCGTGAGGTTACCACCGCCCGGCCGAGGGGCTGTAAGTCCTGGCCAGGGGAACCTGGGTTGGCTCAGCCAGACCTGCCTTCTAGTCAGCCACAAGTGATCATCCATGCCTCAACTGGAAGAGGGGCTCAGTGCTCTGATATGGGGTGCCTGCCTCTACCTCCACCACTCTCACTGCCC